AGAGAGAGAGAGGGGACTGGCGAGGGAGAGGAGGAGAGACCCTCCAAGCTCCCGATACCTCAGGCGGTAAGAACCGCCGTGCAAGCTCAGTCCCCGCTGCTGCTCCGCTCGCTGCTGCGCTCCTGCTTCAGCCCCTGCGCTAAGTTTAGCGCATCAAAACAGTGCCCTAGCACTGACCATGCCGTGCCGGTAGAGTTCCGGTAGGCCGATCCCACTACTGAGGCGGATACCGGTACTTATACCGGTGGGCAATGGTCTGGCCTCAATGCTGCGAGGCCAGGCCAGACCCCGAACCGTCCAGATGGACGGTTCAGCCTCAATCGGCGGGCGGCAGCGTCAAGAGCGCTGCCAGGCCCAAACGAAGTGTCGTTTGGGCCTACCCGATGGGTGATAGTCTGAAATCAGGCCTTTAGGGCCTGTAAACCCCAAAGGTCGGGCCTTTAGTCCCTGGTGTGTCCCTCCGGCCCTAAGTCGGGTCCGGTAGGACCCGTGTGAGTCGAAGATGTAACATTCTGGCAGCACTTCCGCATGGCTTATGCAGCGAATGAATAATGGCTGGGCGCTGCATCTTTATTTATACTTCTGTCGAGTGCTGGTCTGCCCTGTTCCCACCGGGCCCTTCGTGCACACAGTCCCTTATGGTACTTGCTGACTGGACTAGGAGCGAACTGTACACAGGTAGTGAGGTCTAGGGATCGAACCCTGGGATCCGCATTCTGTACTGCAAAGGTGAAACAACATGAGAGTCCTGACCCTTCCCGACTTTCTCTCTCTCTCTCTCTCTCTCTCTCTCTCTCTCTCTCTCTCTCTCTCTCTCTCTCTCTCCCTTTCTCCCTCTCTCTCTCTCAACCCAATCGATCAATCAATCAATCAATCAATCAATCAATCAATCAATCATCAACCTTAATGGATGGATTGATTGATTGGCTCGGTGATTCAATGTTTGATTGACTGATCGATTGCTTAACTTGATCTACCATTCAGTCAATATGTCAATCAATCAATCAATCAATCAATCAATCAATCAATCAATCAATCAATCAGTCAATCAATCAATCAGTCAATCAATCAATCATTCAATCGATCAGCGATTGAATGATCGATTGATTAACTGATTGATTGATTGACTGATTGATTGATTGATTGATTGATTGATTGATTGATTTAAAAGGGAAAAAAAACAAAGGACAGGGATTGCACCAATAACACACCCATAGAGACTCGTCGTACTGAAAACCAATGTCACACTGTGTCCAAAGAGCAGCATTGCACCAATAACACACCAATGGAGACTCTTAGTCCTGAAAACCAATGTCAAGGAGAGCATCCTCTCTCCACACCAACACAAGAGTCCAGTCCAATCACTCTCCTACTTGGCGCTCAGCGCCCAGACTACTCACACACAGCTACTACAGCCTACGAAACAATGCAACTGTTGACATCAGCAGCAACCCGAAGTACTTGAAGATGCCGCCCATCCAGACCATCGCAAATACAAGGTAAGTGCCCTCACATCATCATCATCATCATCCTTCACCTATCCCCTGTCTACACCCGAAGACCACCCCTGCGCTTCACTGAGCAGCGCCCTACTTCCTGCACTACCGCACGTGCTGCACCTCGCCGCTCAATGCCAGCCAGCAGCCGCGAGCCCTTGCTCCAGCAGCGCTGCCGCCAGAATGCGAGTGCCTGAATGAGGCTGGCTGGGCAGAGCTCTTTCCTTTATGGAAGAGTTGGCCTGCTCGCACAGCCTGGCTGGACTGGCCTGGGCCCAGAAGCTTCCGAAAGGACCGAGGAAGCAGCCTGTCTTCAGCAGCGAGTAGGCTGCTCAGCCGCTGCTGGGCCTCGTTTGGTTATGCGCCCAACTGTCTCTGTATGAGGCTGCGAATCACGCCCAGGGCCTGCATTCTTTGGAAAAGCCCAGAAGGGCGTGGAAATGTCTTTGTTGCCCGACTTGAGTTTCTCTCAACCAACTGGCGTGTGGCAACTGCTTGTACCCCAAATATAAAATTGACAGTCCAGGGCTTTCTGCGATATGTTAGGCCCGCCTTCACTTAGGGCGGGCACCTCCGCCTTCACTTAGGGCGGGCAAAGCTGCAAACAGGGCCCTGTAGGCCTACCGAGAACTCAGATCCTCGCAGGAGTACATCATCTTCTTGTTCTTTCTTACTTCTTCTTCTTCTTCTTCTTCTTTCCCTCTCTCTCTACACTCAAGCTCATTCAAAGTCATTCATTTCTTTTTGCAATTGGTCGGCATTGTACTTTCTGATGAATGTATACTTCTGCAAGGAACATGAGTATGGACGAAGCACAGAAATCCAGAATGCACAATCACACTGAAGTTCAAGTAGTCAAAGCCAAAGCAGATAGCCCATGGAACCGAGTAACCATCCAATAGAGAATGATACAGAAGAATCGTGAGTCAATGTCCATGCCCAACAGGGCAACACCAACAACATAACCCAAATGTAGCTCTCTCTTATGAATGGCGCCAGGCGCCCTCTACTCTACAGCTATCCTACAACTACAGCAATGAAAAGCAACCAGACAACCTGACTACCAGCGAGTGATGATGTCAACACCAATGCCGACCTCCACCATCACCAGGTACGTGTCATCTTCCCCACACTCTCCCTTGTTACCCACACAGCGCCCTTCACCTCCGAAGTACCACCTTCGCCCTCACCCCCCTTGCACCCTCATGCGGCCCAGGCTATGGCCGCCAGTGCCCTCAATGCAGGCAGCGCCCTACCGCCTATCGTGGCCTGCTTGCTCTTAGCGCAGCACACATGAATCCGCGCCGCGTGCCCGCAAGTGCCAACATTGGCCGAGATCCCCGCTGCCTCGCCCTGCTTGCCTATATGCCAATGCAGCATGTGGGCGGTCTCCCTTCAGCCTGTGACCGGGACCCAGAGGCTGAAGCCAACTCGATACAGTTGGGCCCCGGGGCAGTGCAGTTGCGCCTCTTTCATCAAGGCCTGCG